GGTGAATGAGGTCACACTGCCACTTCCACCGTCCCACCATGGGTGACCTAGACTCCAATCAGAACCTCTCCCCTTGGGCAGCTCCGGTGACTCAGCAGTTTAGCGCCACCTTCAGCCCAGGGTGTGATCCTGGTGACCCGGTTTGAGTCCCACATCGGGCTCCCTGCGTGGAGCCTGCTTCTCCCTCTGCCTGTGTCTCTGCCTCTCTCTCTCTCTGTGCCTCTCATGAATAAATAAATAAAATATTTTTTAAAGATTTATTTATTTATTTATTCAGAGAGAGAGAGAGGCAGAGACACAGGCAGAGGGAGAAGCAGGCTCCACGCAGGGAGCCTGATGTGGGACCCGATCCCAGGTCTCCAGGATCACACCTTGGACTGCAGGCGGCGCTAAACCGCTGCGCCACCCGGGCTGCCCCAATAAAATATTTTTTTAAAAAAAGGAACCTTTCCCCTCTTGTTAGCCCAGACCGCTTCACAGAGTGAGCTCCAAGCGTTCACTTCAACTTTACATCAGAGTCAAATACAATAAAAATGAATAGTTCATGCATCCACTACCCCTAAGAACATGACTGCACCCACCAGATAGCATTGGAAATGTTGCTTCCTCCCACCACCATCACCTCCAAACCAAACCTTTAAAATCATACCCTGGGCTGCCTAGCTAGCCCAGTCAGTAGAGCATAGGACTCTCAATCTTGGGATCATGAGTTTGAGACCCACATTGTATGTACGGATAATTGAAAAATAAAATCTTTTAAAAATTGTCATACTCCCAAAGCAAACAAAAAGATTTGCTATTTATTCAGGGTTTGTTTTAATTTTTAAATCCTCTTTCCCATTCCCTCCACTACTGTGGAGAAGCAGAAGCCAAAGAATAATCCTGTTTATTCAGCAGGTGGACTGTGCATGTTTGTAGTCTCACTTCAGCCTCTTGGTCCTCCAGCCAGCAGAGCGCCCCAGAAACACAGGGCTGAGCCTGGCCAGAGCAGCTCCTCCCTGGGGAGGGGTCTTTACCTGCTGAGACAGCTCCCCCTCTCACTTTGCACCAAGGTCTTTTCACCCCTGAAAGAGGGGAAGAGGTTCAAATTCTGACTTTGCAAACGGCTTTCCTTTCACTGACTCACTCACACAGGTGCCTCGTAGACAAAGTTGAGTTGTTTATGTAGGAATTGATGCTGGAGCAGCTGACATCCCCTGGGTGGCCAGATACTGTCTCCCTCTTTATGAGAGGAACTCCCTGAGCACCAGAGCTGTGGCAGCTTCCATCCCCCAGGCTCCTCCCCTGGGGTTCAAGAGAACCCATACCAGTATCCCCCAGCACCCTGCTGTCTGCCCACAGGATGGTGAGGGTGAACACCCCATGCTCCAGGGGCCACCCCCACAGGCAGGGAGGGTACTTTTCCAGATGGAGTTGGAAGGACCCCGCCAAGGCTGGGATGAGGCTTTTCAGCCTGTGGGAGCTGAGTCCCTGGCTGGTGATTCTGACTCCCTGAGGGGCAGGAGGGGTTACTAGAGGACTCATTGCCCTTTCTCCCCTGTTCACTCCTGTTCACTCATCGTAGCCCGTACAGAAGGACGACAATTCCACCAAGTTGGGCCCCCAGGAAGTGAGGGAGGAAGAGGGGAAGGAGGATGTGGTCTCCCTCCGAGGTGCCCAGAACTTACAGAGGAACTTGTCTGGCTCTGACCAGGCCTGGAGGGCAGAGAACAGTGACAAATGCCCCATTGCCCTGAGATACAGTTTATCCCCACACCCCATGCCCTGAAACCACAAATGCAAACAATGGATTCACACAATAATTCAATTAGTCATCCTCCCTGATAGGGGCTGAGAGCCAGGCTTGGTTCCCATGAAATGACTGGGGTGATTCATTCTGAGGCTACAGGGATGGGCTCACTGAATACTGATCCAGAGGCCAGAAGCTGTGGCTAGCCTGCCCCCCCCCATCCCAAGCACCCCCTGCAGCTGCCAGCTACTCAGACCTCCACCCCCAATGCAAAGAACACTTATACACACTGAATACGGAGACAGTAGGCCCCCCCTTCAACTGGGTGGTGGGCAGCTGCCATGGACGCAGCCATCCAGTGTCCCGGATGGCCTCTCCAGCCAGGCTCTGGGCCTGCCAGATGTGGCCTCTCTCTGCCTGCACTTCACTGCAGCACAGCCAGGGCCAAACAGGCAACTCGATCATCTTCAGGGGTTCAGGGCCCTGGCTAGCCACGCAGGGGAACAGACAGAAGGAAATGTAAAAAACCCTAAACGTCCTTGTAATCTGCAGTGCCTTAAGGCCAGCAGAGCAGAACCTTCCTCTAGGAAGCTCCCGGCTGTCTCAATGCCCTGCTGGAGGGAAAAACAGCCTTAGCTGGACAAAAGCAATGCCCCCAGGATCCTGTGAATCTCCTTTAGCTGATAAAGATCCTTCTGGAACTTCTCTTTACTTCCCCCAACCTCAATAATCAATTGCACTGTCCCGTCCCTGTGCATTAACAAAACCACCTTTTTGCACGAAAGAAATCTCAAGAATTCTTTCTTGGCTCCAGACCCCGCAACCTCACCAACATCCCAAAAGTACAGCACCCGGACTTTCCCTGCCCCAATCTAGACCCATCAGAGCCAGGTTCAGGCACGATTTCCTTCTCCACTCCCATCCCAGAAACCTCTTTCCTGGGAACCACGTGAGCCTTCGCCCAGAGTGGGACCCTTTTCGAATCCATGTAAAGGCATCTTACGACCTAGCAGTGGCCTCATCAGGGTGGCCCCAAGTGTGGGGCCTTGCAAGTCACCCCCAAAGGTGACTGTGAGCAAACTCTGATGGCTGGTGCAGCAACCAAGCAGAGCAGGACATAAATCACTAGGCTACCAGGACACAGAGGAAGACTTGACCAAAGAAAGGTATTTATTGAACAGTTACCCAGCACTGGATCTGAATTAGGCAGGCCCAATGGAGGGTGGTGTCTCCACCTTCCTGCTGTATGCTCAGCCCTTGAGGGCGTCATTATAGATCAGAGCCAAGGCCCCCAGGAAGGTGACGTACTCCTGGAAGTTCACCACCTGGTCCTTGTTTCGGTCCAGGTCGTCCATCAGCTTTGCAATGTCAGCATCCTGCAGCTTCTAACGGGACAGAATGGGAAATCCAGACTCAATGGGAGGAGAGCCTGAGGTTCTCTTCCTCTCCTCCTCCAGGCAGCCCTCCCTCATGCAAGTAGCTCTGCACTCTCCCTGTCACCAAAGATGCGAGTCCACCTTGGGCTGGTTCTCCACACCTGCTCCTCACTGGGGGCAGGTACCAGGCTGAGAGTATCGAGTAGAGTATCGAGTATGAGTATCGGGAAGTGACCAACCGTCTCAGTAAACGATGTGGGCTGGGCCCCCAGAACGTAGTAACTGTGAGTCAGATGCACCTGGCACCTCTCCCTCTCCTCACCCTGCTTCTAGGGCCTAGGGGAGACTTAACTCACCGGGCCAATGGTCAGCTCCTTCTGGATCAGCTCCTTCAGCTCCTTCTTGCTCAGAGTGTTCTTGTCGCCTTCCTTGCCCGAGTACTTATGGAAGATGGCCACGAGGAGGCCAATGGCCTGATCCAGGGGGCACGCCATGGCTGGGCACTGGGCTGGGAGCTGGGGGCCAGAGGCTGCTCAGTGCCGGAGCCCCCCCCCCCCCCCCCCGCCTACCCACATTCCCCAACAGCTGTGTCCCCACCCGCGTCGGGGTCCCCATCAGGAGTCAGCCCAGGGCTTGAGGGGAGGGAGAGGCACTCCTGGAGGCCCGCAGGAGGGAGGTGGCCAAGGAACCAACCGGACGGCAGCGAGAGCGGCCCGGGAGAAGCTGGGCAGCCTGAGGGGAGCCGCACACGCCCTCGCAGCCCGGGGCCCCTCGGGCCGGGGCGGGCGCCTGCTGGGCGCGCAGGGACTCACCGCTCGGCCGGAAGAGCGTCCAGGGACCGACGGGCGGTGGCCTGCGCGCCTTTTAGCTGCGGGGAGCGAGGGCAGGCGGCCGGAGCCCACTCCTCCCGCCCCCAGGCCCCCCACCGCCCTGCCCCCCCTCGCCGAAGTCCCCCCCAGCCCCGCCCTCCGCCCCGCCCCCAGCCCCTCCTGCGCCCCCACCCAAGCCCGCAGGGCGCCCGCGTCTACAGGACACACCCCGGGGCGGGCTGGGGCGGGGGGGGGTGGGGGGCAGCCCTCAGCGCCTCCCGCTCGGGGCTGTTCCGGGTTCCGCGTTCCCAGGGTGGAGCGGGGATCGCAGGGGAGACCGCTGCAGGTCCGTGACACCGAGGTCCCGGCCAACACCACAGCCCACGGGGGGGGCGGGGGTCCCCAGAGGGTGTCGGGGTCAACCCTAGCTGAAGGAGAGGGAGCAGCCAGGTCTATAGGATATGATTCAAAGGGCATCTACAGCACCCACCCCTCAGAAGCAAGTTCCCGCCCGCACCCCACAGCCCTCCGTCCCCGCCTACAACCCCACCCTCACCCCCATAGCCCTTCCTCCGCGCCGGCCGCAACCCCACAGCCCAGCCTGGAATCCCACCTGCAAGCCTCTTGCGGGGCAGCACTTGCTGACCAGCCCCGGCTTTACTTAGCTACTCTCCAGTGAAAGGATTTTCACAGCGGGGACTGGAGACAACAGAAAGCACAGATGATGGGGTGGGGTGGGCTTGCTGGGGGAAGCTGGCATGGGGTAGCCTCAGGCTGGCTTGTCCACCACTGCCCTCAGGACCCTCCCCAGTACCTGTGCACCTCAAAGCACTTCTCTTAGCTTTCTCTGAAAGGCAAGTGAAAGCCTGCCCCAACTTCCTCATCTCCCTGAAGGGCAGAACTAAGCCCAGGAAGCCGGGTGGCATCCACACTGGGAAGGGCGGGAGGTAGGTGACCCTAATGCCCGGAGACTCAGCTCAGGGAGAAGTCCTGCCTCGCCCGACCCACCCCCAGCCAAGGTGGACAAGACATCTGCAAAACCAGCCAGGAATGGAAAAATCTTTATTTCCTCTGCTGGAAGGGAAGGCAGAAGCAGGGTCCGTCCAGAAGAGAGAGCAGGGCCAGGGGCCAGGGAGTGTCTGGGAGACAGCTGAAGAGGCCAGGGGCAAGGGGCTGAGCCCTGGTCATTTATCTTCCTCCAGGAAGAAGTCGTTGTAGGCCATGCACAGTGTGGTCAGGAACACCGTGTACTCCTTGAAGTCGATCTCCTGGTCACTGTTCTTGTCCAAGGTCCTCATCAGATCATCGATGCCGCTCTCTTTCATCTTCTTCAAGAGCACAAGGAGAGGGACAGGTCAGCCACCCCATTCAGCCCTGCCCCCCAGTGCACGGTGCCACCCACCCCTGGGAGGACAGCCTCAGGGTGACCCTCGGCTGGGTCAGCAACACTGAACGTCTCAACCCCCACAGTGTCCCCAGCCCACACCCAGCACAAGGCCTGGCACCATGTGGTGACCTGACTCCTAGTCTGAGCAAAAATCCAGAGGAAAGCTGGTCCACCCTCCCCTTTCCTCAGCACTTCCCACCATCCAAAGAAAGAATCATCTGGACTTTATACAATGTCTAACAGAAATGCTTTGGTGACTATGTGGCACTGAGCATGATCCAGACTTCTGTCCCCACAGTGGGTAGCTGAGAACTGACCCCGACAACACTCCAGGAGAGCAGTGCTGGGGCCGAGCAGCCACCGCCACCTCCCTTTCTGGGGGACACAGACATATGGAGATGAATCCCTGGCTCAGCCACACTCCATCTGTCCCCTGCTCTCCCAGCCCTGCTCCACTAGGAGGATGGAGACAGGGCCCTTAGGTGGGACAGGAAGACAGACATGTTCTGCCCTCCCCTCTTTACTGCCCTCAGCTCCCACTTTTCCACAGGAGACGGGCATCAGGACAGATGGAGATGGAAACAACATCTCTGTGCCGTGGTCCTTGCCCCCAGACTGGGCTCCTGTTAAACTCAGGCCTACCCCAGGGCCTCTGTCCCCCTAGGGGACCCGCGGCCCCTCGCCTCGCCCTCATTAACTCCAGAATGCAGGGAGCCTGGCAGGCAAGCCAGAGGGCAGGCCTGGTGAGACCCACACCTGCTCCGGTCCCCAAAGGAAGGCTCTCTCTGAGGAGGCCACCAAGGTTGACCATGTGACTGGAGAGGCCTCAAGACTGGATTTTCAGGGGAAAAGGAAGGACTTAGCCTCTTACTCGCTGAGTGTCCTTAGACAAGCTAGATAATGTTTCTAAGCCTCTATTTTTTTTTTTTACCCATAAAAATAATATAACTTCCTCATAGGCCCTCCCCTCCGTCAGCCACCTCCCAGCTTCTCCATCTGGCAAGAAGCAATCTGTTTCCTTCCAACCTTGTGTTCACACTCCAGCAGAATGATCCTTTGTGTTCCCATGTCAGTGCCAGCTGAGAGCCCCAGCTGTGCCAGGCATGCAGGTGGGTGCCCTGCCCTTGCTCGAGCTGGGCGCCCTGGTGCCTCATGCCCCATGGTTCCTCACACAGGCTCTCCCATGGCTGATGGGCTCCTTGACCGCTAACCCTTCACACAGGCTATAATTCAGCCTCTGACACTGCCCTCCCTCCTTCTCAGTGAAACCCAGTTCCTCCCACACACACAGAGGTCTTGCATCTGTTGGCCCAAGATTGGCACCTTCTTCACCACAGGGGTTCCCTTTGGCCACCCTTCTCCTGGTTGAGACTAGAGCACTCAGAGAATGGATGTGGGTCCTTTCAGCTGGGTCTCTACAGATGCAGAACTGAGGCTTCCTCCCTCGCAGGAGGGGAGCCCCTGACAATGGAATGTAATTCCACTCTTTTCCTCCTCCCCCATGCTGTGCACAGGGAGAACTCAGGTCTTCGGCTGCAGGTGACAGTGACCTACCTCTCCAAGACACAACTCCTTCTTGATCAGCTCCTTTAGTTCCTTCCTGCTCAGGGTCAGTTTGCTGCCTTCTCTCCCAGAATATTTATGGAAAGTGCTGACCATAGTGGTCAGGGCCTTCTCAAGAGGAGTCTCCATCAGTGGGTGCCTCTGGAGGGTGAAGGGAGAGAGAAGGATTACCTCCCCGGGAAGCCAGACCTTCTGCTTTCCCCATCACTAGCCCAGCCCTGAGGCTCTCTCTCAAGGACCAGAAACTAGAACCCAGGTTGAAACAGAACTTACCAACAAGTGGACTCAAATGTCCCAGAACAGGTTGTATAGTAAGACCTGAAGCTGTGGAGCAGCTAGAGCCATGAGACCAGCCAGCCCCAAAGGAGCTGCATGCTCCAAAAATGCTGGAAAGGGCTCTAGGTGCAGATGACAAGAGGACCTCCCCAAAAGATGAACTGGTGGTAAGGGCCCCTGGCCCACTGAGCATGGGCACTCATTTCCTAAGCACCCTCCTTTGCCCCGGTGCCTGAATCACTGGATGACAGAGTGTGTCCTCTTGTACAAGGGGAGGACCGGGCAAAGAGAGAGTCCAGGGCTTGGAGGAGGCTGGGGTTGGAACTGGGAGATATGGTCTCAGCAGGAAACAGGGGAGAGGTTACTGGACTTGTCCAGCTGGTCTCCATCTCTGGCCCAGAGAAGTGCACACACGACTGGCACCAAGTGAGTTGGGCGCATGGAAATCTCCAGAATCTGAGATTGGACCCAAAGATTGGGTTGGATGTGGCCTTCCTCATCCATCAACACAGCCACATCCACCCAATCCATCCACCTTCCATCCATCCACCATGGAAGGCAGACTCAGACTCAAAAACTACTTCCTCTTTGGAAGGGACTATACCCCCGACACGTGGGGGTTCCAGGTTAATCTGTGTGGAGTCAGAGCAAGGAGGAAAGAGCAGCTGGTTCCCTCCCTCAGCCTGAAGCCCACCTAGTGATTCTTGAACTGGATTCATCAGTGACCTCTCGGCACCCCAGAACCTCAGCTTAGCCTCCCCCAGGAGACTCAGCCAGGACCACAGGGAAGGAAGGGCTTCCGGACATCTGCAACAGAGCCCCTTCTCAAGAAATTCTGAGAAGCACAGCTTCACACTTGGCCATCCTTTCTGAGCAAGTGCCCACTCATCATGCCTGGCCTTCCTTGGTGGAGGTCCCCAAGGCTTGTCATCGCCCACTTGCCCCACCACAGAGAGGAGCCAGGAGGTGAGAAGGAAGGACTCACCTGGGAAGGAGCCAGCAGACAGAGCACAGAGCAGAAACACACTCCCTTCTACACTCCCTGCCTTTGTTTCCTTGCTCTAATCCCCAGGAAACCAGGGCAGGGAAAGAGCCAATGAGAACGGGTGGGGACCCGAGGAGGCCCCGGGCCAGAGCCTCCTGGGACAGGGCTGAGAAAAAACCCCTCTGCCAGTCTTGCCTCCCTCCTTTCCCAAGGGGAAGGGACACCTAGAGTTCATTGTGCCACACACAGCTTCAGGGCCAACCAAAAACCAGCACTCAATCTGTTGGGACAAGGGGATGGAAAAGAAACCAGCTGCTCTGGAAACACGACCCAGGAGTATGGGCCAAATATAGGGACTGTGCTCATGCCCGAGGCCACTGTCCACACCAAGAGCAAAGAAAGCTCACCTGGAGATGGGAATCCATGAGGGAAGATGTATCCTGCCAAGGGCACTGTCAAGGTCATTAGTGAGGATAGAGCCTATGGTGTTTGCAGAGTTTTTAAATAAATGATTTCTCTCAGCCTCAGTGGTCTTCATGGGAAAGATTTGTCAGACTTGGAATGGAAGCCTAGGATCAGGGTCCAGGGAAGGCACACAGAATGGGGAGGCCAGGTGATGTGGTGGGGGTGGGTTGGAAGCAGGTTCAGGGTGTGTGAAGGAAGGGGACAGGGTCAGGACGAATCCCCTGAATCCCAGGAAACACATAGCTCTACCACCAACCAGTTCAGGTCTGAGAACAGAGCCAACTTGGGGTTTGATGTGGTGCCATGGCCCCACCTGGCCTGTCTGGGCTCTCCCTGCCCCGCTGTGCTCTGTGTCTCACCCCCACCCCCCCACCCACCCCCCACCCCCGCCCCTGCAGGGCTGCAGAGGCAGCAGGGACTGGTTGCTCAGCAACAGGACTTTCCAAGGCAGAGTGCTGCAGGCCCAGGGGAGGGCTCCCTCCGACCACAGAAGGGGAGGAGGCGGCTGCTTCCTGGACCCAAATCCTCCCCAGGCCTCTGCAAGTCACATCTGCAGGAATATCTGAGTCACCTGCCCTCTGCTCTGACACTTGAGAGAAAAACAGGATGGAATGAGAAGGAAGGAGGAGAACTTGAAAGGTCAAGGGGACCAAGCCCCCTGCTGAGGACAGGACCTTCGGAGGCCCCCACCCCACCCCAGCCTGGCCTGGTCGGCTGACCTCAATCACCTGCCTGTGACCAGAAGGGACACAACATCATGCCTGATATTTTCTGGAGGAAGAACAATGTCAATTTCATTTATCAGATCCGGTGTCTGGAATTTCATCTCCAAATTTATGGCCATTTTCAGCTCCAAAGTTAAGGCCACCTCCCACCACCTCCCTCGCTCTCACCACAGCCACGATCCTCCACTCATCCCTTTGAGGTTCTTTGTCCTTCTCTGGAGGACCAGGACCGTAACTGCTAACAACCCTCATCCCAGGATCTCTGGGGCAGGAACAAAGGTCAAAGGGGTGATATCCTGGGGCTGCTGCAACGCTGTGGCCTCCAGAACCTCACCATGGACAGGCTGGACTCACCCATCCCTGGGTTGGAAGCCAGGCACTGATTCAGCCCCCTGTCCCAAGGCACCCAAACCCCATTCCAGACCCCAGCAGGCGCACTGCGGACAGTCTTCTGCTTACCACTCCCTGACCTTCACCAGTCTGCTCCCCACAGAACTGCCCCCACCAGCCTGAGCCCCCACCCAGACCCAGAGTCTCCCAGACCATCAGCCTCAAAGCTTCCAAGAATCTTTATTAAACATGGTCTACAACTTGCACACATCTGGGGAGCCAGGGTGAGGTCCCGTGCCTGCTGCCAACAGGTAAGACCTCAGCTGCTGGACCCAACCCCTCCCGCACAGAGGCCTTTACTTCTTCCGGGGCTGCTTATCAGGGAAGCCTTCGAAGAACTCATTGCACATCATTGCGACGCAGGACAGGAAGACACAGTACTCCTGGAAGTCAACCTCGTTGTCTCTGTTGCTGTCCAAGTTGCTCATCAGCTTTTGGAAGGCGGCTTCATCCGTCCTTTTCTGCAGAGAAGAGGCTACAGGTAGGACCGCAAGCTCTGGGGGTGGAGCCAAGACTAAAGCAGGTTTCCACCTGCAGGTGGGAGCTCAGGGAGGCACAGCGTCTCCCTGGGCCTGCCCTGGGGGCCCTGCCTGGGAACCCTGCTCTCAGCTGAGCACCTGCACTCAGCTAGACCAGGGACCACAGTGCCTTCCCCCAGGGTTGTCCCGAGAATAACATATAAACTGCATAAAGTTTGATATAGACGAGAGCCATGAGTGCTCAGGGGTGTGGGCAGGTGTCTCCGTAACTGTGTCTTCTTGTCCACAGAGACTCAAACCTTGCTCATTGCTGGGTTGGTGGCAACCGGAAGACCGTCCCAGTGTGTGGGTCTCAGCTTTGCCCTTCCACTACCTGAGGGAGTAACTTAGGTCTGAACTTTTCTTCCTCTTCGGTTAACTTGTGCAATGCCTGGCACATCTGGCCTGCACCTTACCCATTGGGGTCCGGCCCTCTTCTTGCCAGGCTCCAAGAAATGAGTGGCGAGTGCTCACCATGTTTCCAGCTGCGTTTCCACAGCAAGCTCTGTGCCTGACTTCCCCATCTCAGTGAGATGCCGGCTGCAAACCCTGCCCCCACACACACCCTGGCCCCAGCCCCTCCTCTGTGGGGAAGGGGGCACTCAAAGGCATACTCTCAGGCAGGAGCCACTCACCCCCAAGAAGCTGGGCAGCTCCCGCATCAGCAGCTCCTTTAACTCTGATCTGTTGAGCTTGAACTTGTCACCCTCCTTGCCAGAGTACTTGTGGAAAGTAGACACCATCACATCCAGAGCCTTCTCCAGGGGGAACGTCATGGTGGCTGTCAGGACCTGAGGACAAGCCCAGAGACACCCTTATCTCCCCCAGCCCCAACTTCGGGTCTGCATGCAGCATGCCCTACCCCATTTCCATCCCTCAGGGAGCACTGGGTGAGACTCTGCTCCCACCAGAGGGGGACCCCAGAAAGGTGGGCTCAGCCCTGCTGAGAAGCGTGTGCTTCAGGCCTCCAACACTGACCAGGACCATTGCACAGGCTGTGTGGGTCAGGCAGCATCCCTCAGGCTGGGCCTCACCGACTGCTCCCCCCCAGTACTCCCGCGACCACAGCAGCCCCGCCCTGCCCCATCCTCCCCCTCCCAGGGCTGCTGGAGGCCTGCCCAGGGGCCTGCATCGGAAAAAAACAGTGACCTAGCCCTAGAGTAGGGAGGGGCAGGGTGCGGTGGCAGAAGCAGGGGTTGGGGGGGGGAGGCAGGCTCCAGGCAGCTGGTGCAGAGCAGAGGCTCCAAAGACACAACCAGACAAAAGGCTACAGTGGCCTTGAGTTAGCATCCCATACCCGAGTATGCACACACGCATGCCTCACACACACACACCAACACACACTACAGCAATACACGTGCAAAGCCCAGCATCTCAGGACCACCCAGCTAGTCAGATCCAGCCACGGGCACACTTCTTGTGTTGTTGTTTTATCTCTTTCACATGCATGCATGTAGGAGCACGCAAACACACATGCACCACCCCACACTAAGGCCTCCACATCATGATCTCACACTGGACCCAGTTAGTGCATCTGGCTCTCACCAGCCACTCCTTCTTCTGCCCAGAGCCTGACCCCAGCCTGGGCCTGACACCCCATGTGTGCTAATCAGGAGACTCGACTCACCAGACCAAGAAGGAGAAGAGATGAGGAGAGAGGGTGCGAAGAGAGGAAGAGTGGGGGAAGCCCAGCACTCTGTCCTATTTATACCCTGGCCAGGCCCTGCCCATAGCAGGGGTTGGGGATGAGGGAGAGCCAGTCCTCCCGTGGGCCTGCAGCTTCCTGCCCAGGGCAGGCACACAGAACAGTGGGAGAGCCCGCATGGGCAGGGGTGTCAATGTGGTGGGCACAGCTCAACCTGACTTCAGGGCCATGGGGGTCAGGGCGCAGCATCCCACAGGCAGCAAGGAAAGAGGACACAGGCGTGCTGAGTGAGGCCCGGGAAACCACCTGGCTGACTCAGTGGGTAGAGTGTGTGACTCTTGATCTCGGAGTAGTAAGTTCAAGCCCCGTGTTGGGTGTGAAGCCTACTTAAAAAAATAAATAAGATGAAAAAAACTGAATATTGGGGAAATAAAAGAAAGAAATTACCCTGGAGATGTAGCTGCCCAGGAACTAAGGAACAGACCCCAGGCTCAGTGGCACTGATCTCACTGTCCTTCCCCTCCATAGAGAGCACTTGCCACACTGATGAGGCCCAGGGACGGGGCTGGGGGTCTGTAGGAAGAACAGAACAGCACCCAGAGGTGATGCTAGGACCAGCCCAGGCATATCAGTGGACAGAGGTCCAGGTGAGGTGGTGATGAAGTAGGGAGCAGGAATCAGACATGGGGCTCAGGGATGGACGGCAGGTACCCAGAGGGTTGGGCACTGGGAGGATCTCAAGAGGGGGTATCTAGAGTTGGAGTGGTATTAGGATGAAGAATGCAGGTTGGAGTGGATAGTTAGAGGAGAAATGGCACAAAAGGGGGAAGGCAGGGATCGGGGTCACCTTCTCAGAGTGGGGTATGAACTCAGGGTGACTGAGAACCAGGAGTAGAGCCTAAGGCACTCGGCTGGCCCTGGCTCCAGCGATGGGCACTGGCCAAGGTGTCCCCTTCCCCTCCGATGCAGGGCACCCCTCTCTGGCCAGGAGCAATCCCCTTGTCAGACCTCAGACACCCTAATCCTATTAGTTCTGCTCTCTGGGCTCCCACAGCCAGGCAAACAAGCCCACCCCACCCCTACACCCCACCCTCCTCCTCGGAACAGGAGCAGCTCGTGAGAACTGAGCTCCCATCCCAGGGAGCCTCTGGCTGCCCCCGCATCTTCCTTCACAGCCCAGGGCCACCGCTTCTTCAGAGACCCCAGAGAGAGAAAGAGAAACAGACACCCCGAAGCCCCTAGACTCTCCTGGTACTGAGCCCAGCCCTCCTGCAGGAGGTGGAGACCGTGTGTTGTTGCTGGGCTGACTTTGGCCTCAGCCTCCTGCTCCCCAGGGAGGAATGAAGACTGCCCCAAACCCCAGGCTACCCTCTCAAAAGAAGCAAGCCAAACCAAGTGACGCCAGTTCTTTATTAGGAGTTAAGTGGGCCTTTCCCTGTCGTGGTCTCTCGTGTGCACACAGGCTCTGAGCGCTGGCCGCCTCCCACCACCACGGCCTCAGCAGGGAGGTGGCAGCAGCCTGCTCTGTGTCTCTAGCCATGACAGCCACGATGCTGAGGAGGTCCCCTCATGACTCAGGCCTCACGGGTACAGGGCCAACAACCCAGGGTAACCATGTGGAGGGTACAGGACGGGGCTGGGGGAAGCAGGGCCTACTGGGAGCAGGGAGGGTCGGGGGCGCAGCCCTTGAAATACTCGTGGCAGTAGGTGCAGAGGCAGGCGAGGGAGCGCATGTACTCCACAAAGTCCACCTCGCAGTCCTGGTTGGCGTCCAGCACACTCATGAATTTATTGTAGTCACACTCTCGAAGCTCCGTCTGTGCAGGGGGCGGGGCGGGGTGAGGAGTGAGCATGCCACGTCCCACCCTCCCCTCGTGGGCCACCCCTCCCCCCACACACACACACCCCACCCCCGCGCACCCCTTCCGAGGCCAACCTCAGCCAGCCCCTGGCCGTGCCCCCTGAGCGCCCTCCCCAGGTCCCACTGTATGCTTCTCAGGGCCCACTATGTGTTGGGAATTCTGCACAGTGCTCTGGCTCCAGCCTCCCAGCAGCCCTGCAAAGCAGCAGCAGTGGCGCCCACGGGGATCCCGTCCTGGTGTCCCTTCCTCGCAGCTCTGCCTGTGCCCCACCGGCTCAGAGTGCATCCCTGGGTGCTCACCGGGATCCAGGTAGGCAGCTCCTTCTGCAGCAGCTCCTTGAGCTCTGCCTGACAGAGCTTGTGCTTGTCCCCGCAACGGCCTGAATATTCCTGGAAGGTGCACACGATGGCAGCCACCGCCTGCTCCAGAGGCCTGGCCATCCTCACTGTCAGAGAACAAGGATGTGAGCCTCATGCCGGAGACTCAGGGAGCCTTTGCCCAGGTGTCTCCCAGGGACCACTCCCAGACCTTTGTCTCCCCAAGGCTTCTGGCCCACACGCTCTACCTCCTCCAGGCGGCCTTCCCTGACCACTCCAGCCCCTTCTAAGACATTTCCCAACCACCCCATTGTTATTCTCCTGGACAGAGGTCTTCTTTCTCCACCATCATTGTGAACCCCTCAGGGAGTGTGCCCCACCCACCAACAACACCCCCACACTGGGGACCCGTGAGGATTCCCTGATGATCCCTGACACCCAGTCCCACTCTGTAGCACCATAAAATGCAGTCATCCAACCTTTAGGACCCCAGCTCCTTCTGTAGGAAACAGCATGAGCTCTCAGAGGAGCTGGACATTCTCGGGGAGGGGTGAGGACTGAGAGGCACCCCCACCAGCTTATCACCACCACCCTCACCCACTCCTCCTCCCCTGAACTCTGCATCCAAGTAGCCATGCCTCCTCAGATGAGTCATTGACACTGGGTGTCAGGGGCCTTATCTGTAAACTGGGGTTTGTTTCACCTCTCAGGCAGACTCAGGGACCTGAGTCAGGTGGTGTGCAGAGAGCCAGTTTGGGGATTTGCCCCACCTGAAGCAGTCTCCCACTTCCCTGGCAGTCTTGAGCTACAAGCTCTGCAGAGGAATACCCTGTTCTGTTGGAGGGGCAGCCTTTCCTGGAAATGCCTGCTTCCCCCAATCCCATCACCTGCTCGGAAACTACCGAGGCAGCCGGGGAGGCAGGCTGGTCCCCATGACCCAAGGGACAGGAATCAGCAGCACTGCAGCCAAAGCCAAGGCTCTGTACCTGCCTCCCCTTTGCGGGCCTGTAGGGTAGAAGGCTGGCCAGGCAAGGGGCAGGAGTGAGGGGCAAAGAACTGCCTGTAGGGTCCTTGTGACAGCCAGCATTGGAACAGGGTGTCTGGGTTCCCAGCATAGAAAAGGGCCACAGCCCAAGGAATGTGGAACCTAAGAGGTGCTCCGTGGCCCTTCTGGGCTCCTCTGGCCTGGCTGGCACCAGGTTGCTTTTTCAGAAGCTGGGTGTCTGGAGACCCGAAGGAATCCTCTCTCCCCACCGAGGCCCCCGCCCCCACCAGCCCTCAGCTCTGAACACCCCTAACCCAAACTCTGGGCAGCCCTTCACTGTACAGAGGCCCCCTGAGCCCCCTATACCTGACATCTCTTCCCAGCCCCGCTCCCATCCGCAGACCCTGAACTACCTGACACCCAATGCAGGGCAGGACCCCAGCAGCTGGCACTCACCACTGCTGCTGGTTTCAGCTGTAGGAGGCTAGAGACGAGGCATCTCTATTTGTACCCTCCCAAGGAGGGGAGGAAGCAATTATGGGGACCCAAGCAGGTCAAGCTGCGGATGCCCCTAGGGGCTCCCCTGCCTCTTGCCCTGGCGGCCCTTATTACAGGCCCCGCCAGCCCACCTACCTGTGAGTACATCAAAGGCCCAGTCTGGGCCACGGACACCACCACACCCTCATGCCCCCATCTCCTGGCAGAGCACTTGGAGGAGACAGGCCAATCTATCACATCCACTACTACCTCCTACTCTAGAGGGGTGCCAAGTGCAGGCACACATAGCCTCCTCAGAAGACCCCTGTGCCAGAGGGGATCTTGGGGAGCGTCTGCTTTGCTCCTCATCTGCAGGTGAGAAACTGAGGCCTGACATAACCTCCCTGCCTGTCGAGATCGATGGTCCTCAGTGGCTTCAGGCAGGGGCTGCTCTGTCTCCTGAGGACCACCTGCAGGGTGTTGGAGGAATAGGAGGAGGTGGCTGCTCTGAGGCCCTTCCATACTCAGGCTGACTGCTCCCCATCCACAACTGCCCTAAGAGCTGTGAGGGGCTACAGACCCTATGCACAGGGTCCCGAGGTATGTCCTGTCCTCTCTTTCTTGAGGCTGGATGTGATGGGGCTGGGATCCTTTAGGCTGTTAGCAGGGGTACGTAGGTAGCCCTTTAGGGTCCCGACATGATGGGCGCTGCCCTTCGTCTGCCCTCCTCAATGAGCCCTGGCTTCAGCATCTGTCTTCCTCATTCCACACACTATGAAAGCCAAAGGTGGTTTTGGCTCAGCTTGGCCAGTGGTCTCGGGACATGAGGGCCCCTGGTGCCGGCTCGCCTCTCAGAGTTGGCTTTCTCTTAGATTTTGGTCTCCTCATTCCTTACTGCCCCGTGAGCTCCTCATTGCTGGAAACACATTTTTTTAAATCCTGTCCAGCATTTTTTATTGTTTTTAGATGCAGTGGGCACAGACCACTGTATTACCTAAAGTGGAAACCCCTCCGTATCATTGACTCTATTCCCTCTCTCCCACCCCCAGCCTGAGAGACCCTCCCCATTTTATAGCAAGAGAACCCGAGACCTGCCAGAGTGTGCAGGAAGGGGAGACAAGGTCACACCCAGGCCTCCGTGGAAGGCCGTGCTGGTGGAGGCAGTCAGAGAGCCCACAGTGCCTGGACCCCAACCCTTCCCAGCACCCAAACTTTGCCCCTGTGGGTGAGGGGAGCCAGCAGGGGCAGGTAGGGAAAGGAGAACTGTGATTAGCCCTGTTTTATAGGCAAGGTTACAAGAAGGAGGGCACAGAAGTGGGGGCCTGTGATTTCTGGGCTCTGCCACCAGACGCCTTCCTGCCACAGGGCAGCCCGCCTTCTGGGCCTCACTTCCGTCTTCTGTCCATTACCAAGGATCATAATGGTGACACTTCAT